CCCTGGTTCAGGTTCGGTACAGGTTCGGTACAGGTCCCCTTAAGGTGTTTTTTTGGTTGGTATATGGCTCTGTGGTGCTGTGTTAGCCAGCACATGTTTCATCCGCTTTTTCAAAGTCTGTTATTTTTTCACGTTTTTCTTACTTCCATTAACTAATTTCTGCTTCTTTTCTTACTTGCAGGGTCTAATGGATTCTCCTGGCGTACTTCGACAGCGGCTTTCAAGCTTCATGGCGGGCAGCAGGGAGCAGCTCCACGACTCAGCTTGGTGAAGGTTGAACGTATCAACCCCACCCTCCACACTCCACAGAGCCACCCCCCAGGTTCAGGTTCGGTACAGGTTGGGTACAGGTCCCCTTAAGGTGTTTTTTTGGTTGGTATAAGGCTCTGTGGTGCTGTGTTAGCCCATCCGCTTTTTCAAAGTCTTAGTTATTTTTCACGCTTTTTCTTACTTCCGTTAACTAATTTCTGCTTCTTTTCTTACTTGCAGGGTCTAATGGATTCTCCTGGCGTACTTCAGCAGCGGCTTTCAAGCTTCATGGCGGGCAGCAGGGAGCAGCTCCACGACTCAGCTTGGTGAAGGTTGAACGTATCAACCCCACCCTCCACACTCCACAGAGCCACCTCCCAGGTTCAGGTTCGGTACAGGTTCGGTACAGGTTGGGTACAGGTCCCCATAAGGTGTTTTTTTGGTTGGTATATGGCTCTGTGGTGCTGTGTTAGCCCATCCGCTTTTTCAAAGTCTTTGTTATTTTTCACGCTTTTACTTCCGTCAACTAATTTCTGCTTCTTTTCTTACTTGCAGGGTCTAATGGATTCTCCTGGCGTACTTCAGCAGCGGCTTTCAAGCTTCATGGCGGGCAGCAGGGAGCAGCTCCACGACTCAGCTTGGCGAAGGTTGAACGTATCAACCCCACCCTCCACACTCCACAGAGCCACCCCCCAGGTTCAGGTTCGGTACAGGTTCGGTACAGGTTGGGTACAGGTCTCCATAAGGTGTTTTTTTGGTTGGTATATGGCTCTGTGGTGCTGTGTTAGCCCATCCGCTTTTTCAAAGTCTTTGTTATTTTTCATGCTTTTACTTCCATCAACTAATTTCTGCTTCTTTTCTTACTTGCAGGGTCTAATGGATTCTCCTGGCGTACTTCGGCAGCGGCTTTCAAGCTTCATGGCGGGCAGCAAGGAGCAGCTCCACGACTCAGCTTGGTGAAGGTTGAACGTATCAACCCCACCCTCCACACTCCACAGAGCCACCCCCCTGGTTCAGGTTCGGTACAGGTTCGGTACAGGTTGGGTACAGGTCTCCATAAGGTGTTTTTTTGGTTGGTATATGGCTCTGTGGTGCTGTGTTAGCCCATCCGCTTTTTCAAAGTCTTTGTTATTTTTCACGCTTTTTCTTACTTCCGTTAACTAATTTCTGCTTCTTTTCTTACTTGCAGGGTCTAATGGATTCTCCTGGCGTACTTCAGCAGCGGCTTTCAAGCTTCATGGCGGGCAGCAGGGAGCAGCTCCACGACTCAGCTTGGTGAAGGTTGAACGTATCAACCCCACCCTCCACACTCCACAGAGCCACCTCCCAGGTTCAGGTTCGGTACAGGTTCGGTACAGGTTGGGTACAGGTCCCCATAAGGTGTTTTTTTGGTTGGTATATGGCTCTGTGGTGCTGTGTTAGCCCATCCGCTTTTTCAAAGTCTTTGTTATTTTTCACGCTTTTACTTCCGTCAACTAATTTCTGCTTCTTTTCTTACTTGCAGGGTCTAATGGATTCTCCTGGCGTACTTCAGCAGCGGCTTTCAAGCTTCATGGCGGGCAGCAGGGAGCAGCTCCACGACTCAGCTTGGCGAAGGTTGAACGTATCAACCCCACCCTCCACACTCCACAGAGCCACCCCCCAGGTTCAGGTTCGGTACAGGTTCGGTACAGGTTGGGTACAGGTCTCCATAAGGTGTTTTTTTGGTTGGTATATGGCTCTGTGGTGCTGTGTTAGCCCATCCGCTTTTTCAAAGTCTTTGTTATTTTTCATGCTTTTACTTCCATCAACTAATTTCTGCTTCTTTTCTTACTTGCAGGGTCTAATGGATTCTCCTGGCGTACTTCGGCAGCGGCTTTCAAGCTTCATGGCGGGCAGCAAGGAGCAGCTCCACGACTCAGCTTGGTGAAGGTTGAACGTATCAACCCCACCCTCCACACTCCACAGAGCCACCCCCCTGGTTCAAGTTTGGTACAGGTTTGGTACAGGTCGGGTACAAGTCCCCATAAGGTGTTATTTTGGTTGGTATATGGCTCTGTGGTGCTGTGTTAGCCAGCCATTTTTAATGTCTTTGTTAAAATTTTCCCGCTTTTCTTACTTCCTTTTACTAACTTATGCTTGTTGTTAAACTTGCAGGTTCTATAAAGTCTCTTGGGTGAACTTCAGAAGATGTCAAATTATGATCAAACTTCAGCAGCCTTCAAGGCGGGGTGAACGTACCTGCCAACAGCACCTGGCAGGTGCCTCCTCTCTCTCCACCAGTGGTAAGTCCCATCCCACTAACTTTACCCACTTTGACGCATTTCATCGCTTGAATCCTATTGTAAGTCTTTCTCAAGTCATCTGGATTGCTAACTTGGTATTCCTGACTTTACTTGGCAGGTGTCTTAACCAAGGGATTATGTGGACTGCCGAAGCGCCGACAATTCTTTGGAGCACCGTGGACTGTTGAGGCGCGTCATGGTTCAAGCATGTCAAGATAAGTTCTTAACCCCATGTCTTTACCGTTTGTTTTCTTTCACACTCGTTGAGTCCTTAGCTTTATTCAAGTTGTGGGTTGAAGTTGGTCCCATTCACTGACTCAGTTTATTTATTCCCATGGCAGGTTCTCGCCAAGGGTCCTCTGCACGCCCATGAATCCCCAAGACCTTGCACACTGCTCGACGTCTCTAACTCTCCAACTACAGATAAGTCTCGGCCCTTACTTCATGGTCCATTTATTTTCTGATTCTATGCGCGTCGTTTTGCTTTGACGTATGCGGCCTCCTTGCTGATTTTTAAGAGCCTGGACTAATTCCTGTCTCTGTTGCCATGCAGGTCTGGCTGTTGGAGGTGGAAGGCAGTGGGTGGATGTGGCCGTGGCGATGGCATGTGACCAGTGCACGAGAGAGGGTGAACCCATGAGCATTGGCTAAGAACTTGAAAGCGGGCCAAACCGGTCTGGTTCTGTCCCCCTCCACCCAAGCCAGGTGACAATACTGTCTGGCCAGCAGTGTTGTCACGTGGCGTGGGTGGGGGAGGGCAGAGCCAGACCCTAGTAGGGCACCCGCACGTCCTGGGACTAGCAATGCTCATGGCCCAGCCCGCCTCTCTGCCTGTGTGCGCACTGCCAGTCCATGCCGGGGTGGGCATGGATGAAGCGGCATATTTGAGTGCACCTTTAGGATCTTGTGCTTCCTGATTGTATACCCTTATAACTAGCTGATGGTGGTTATAAAATAACTGTTAAAAAGCCATGTAAGTTCAGTAGATTATTCTGGGCTTACTACAAGCATGTCCTAGGGACTTGGGAGCATGAATGAATCCAGAATCATGAATGACCACCATGGTGGAATTATAATATATAAGTGTAGGTAGTAGTAAGCGTTCTGAGAAGACTGGACTGGAGCTTGTGTGGTGTATTTCGGCGCGCTTCATTCCTTGGCGACGGTTCTGGTGATTCGCTTGTGATTGATTTCCCGTCGCTCCCTCAGGCGCCCTCCCTTGATCCTTCCGTCTCTGGCTGGCAGAACAATCCGTCAGTGATGCGTTTGTGCGTGTTCCAGAGGAGAGGTGTGATGCGTTTGTGCGTGTTCCAGAGGAGAGGTGTGATGCGTTTGTGCGTTCGTGCGTTCGTCTCACGTTTGGAGGGCAAATATCAATTCGTGTCAGTGAGAACCTGCTGATGCGTGCAGATTCACACCCCGAAACGTACGGATGCAGCCTGAACTGAACCTGGTTCTTGCATTATCCCACCCACCATAACAGTCCCCCCTCCCCCACACACCGCACTCCCCGTGATGCATTCATGCATCCATGGCACCCCCCTTTCTGCCCCATCCCATGTGAACTAGAGCACCCACTGGCCTGAGGAGGACAGCATCCGCAGTGCACACTGGCACTGCCGTGTTCGCCGCAACCCCAGGCATCATCATCACTGCAAACCGCTTTCTGTCGCCATATCACATCCAAGTTTTTTTAGATCAAATCGGGTGGTCTTGCTAGCCGTCCCCTGATAACCCTCACGTCACGGCGACCCGCCGCATAGGAAGCAAACCCGTGGCGTTGACTTTAGCTCGTTCCAACTTGCAGCGCATGGAGGTGTAAAAATATCTCCTTATTTACCTACTTGTTCCTGGTAACTCTCTTACCTCCTAAGTCCGTCGTCCCAGCTTTCCATTTCCACGCGGTTCGCTTTCGTTCAGAATTATCCTCTTTTCACATCGTTTTTCCAGCAGCACACACTGGCGCCGTTTCGCTGTCCCCTCACACACTCTGTCTCCCCACCCGTCTCCTCGTACCCATTAATATCCAGAAGCCGCGCTCACATGAAACGAACCCCCGGTCGCGGCGGCTCAGATGGCGCGTCGCAAGGATTCTCCTCCACAGCCGCCGCTTCCGCCAGCTTAGGAGGCGGAAGCGCCGTTGGGTTGTTTAATTGCCGAGATCGGCTAAGGGGGATGGGTCGACCTCAATTGGTGCTGCTATTGGTAGTGGGGACTGCGGTAATCGCGGCGCATCTAGTGGTTTTTATGGCGATAATTCGTCGCAGCTTGCATCACTGTGGGCCGGCAGCGGATTCGCCAGCCGGTTGGGCAGTCGGCGATGCGAGAGAAGCCGGCACGGGCGACTCCAGCAGCAGAAGTAGGTTAAGCAGTAGCGGCGTTAGCGAGTCCGCGGGGAGCGCCAATACCGGGGGGGAGATCAGCACCGGCGGAGATGGGGGGGACGGCGCAGTGCGCGAGGGCGGAAAGAGCCCGCCTCGGTTCATCATGTACCGCATTATAGGGAACAACATGCCGCCGTTGCAGTGCCCTAGCCAGCTCCTCTGGAACACCCAGGTGCGAGGATGCGCGTGAAGCGAGCGTTTGTGATGCGAGCGTCTGTCCTGCGAACTGTAGTCGAGACACGCGACTTGGCCAGATTCTCTGCCACGCGCAAGCTCTCCGCTGCCTCCCCCGCGCATTCTCCCTCCCCTCCGCTCGTTCCGCTCCGCCCGTATAGTTCGTGCGTTCGGGCGTTCTGCTGAGTTTACGCAGTCCCGTGGACCTAAATTAGGTCTTCTCCGGATGCGCATGCTTGCACTGCGGTCATCCCAACCTACTTTCATCGCCATTATTCGATTCAGCAGCTTCGTTTTGATATCCTCAAGTGATTCCTTCCAATGGCGCACGACCTCGCCGCTCGTGGCCATGCACAGGCTGCTTGTCCATGTACCCGTCTTATGTCCTGCTGCTCTTCTCTGCATCGTCACGCTTCCTCCCTCCCCTCCCCTCACTCTAATGCCCTCCCTGCCGTCCCCCTCTCCCTCCCCTCCCCTCCCAGTCCCTCCCTCCATCTCCTCCCTCACATCCCTCCCATCCCCTCTCCCATACCCTCTCTCCCCTCCCATTTCCTCCTCCCTATCCCCTCCCTCCCGCCTGCACCATTCCCATGCGTGGTCCTACTGTGAGTGCAGTACGCGTTGCGGCACGAGGGCGAGTTGGAGGGGTGTGAGAAGCGGTGGGTGATAAACCAGATAGTGAACCGCACGGAGCGGGCGCTGCTCATAGACTCGCTGCTGGCGCACGGCTACTCGCTCAACCACATCCTCATCCGCCGCCTCAACCTCTCCAAGGTGCTGCTCTTAACTGCTCTAACGCCACACCACCGTGACGGCCTGAGCCAAACAAGGGGTCACAAGGAATGTAACGCAGTCTTAACAGGTTGTCCTCGCGTCCTCCGTTCTCCATTTTTCTCGTGGCCTTCCTGCATCGTCCGTTTCAACTCTCCCTCCTCCCGTTTGCTCCCGTTCCTCCCCACACCCAAGCCTAACACCCCCGGATCCAGGTGCACACCGCACCAGCTGCCACGTTGCTTACATCATCCCTTTCTCCCATTCCCCACCTCACCACTCCACACATCACACCCCTCCCTCCCCCTTCCTCTTCCCCCTCCCTGCGTGCGCCCCCCTGCAGATATCGCAGTACCCGAGGGAGCAGTGGCTGGACGTGGTGACGGCGCAGAACGAGGCGCGCAACGCCGCCATCGACGACGGTGTGAGGGCGGGGGCGCGGTGGATCCTGCCGCTGGACGGCAACCACTTCATCACCCAGGAGGCCTGGGCTGCTATCCGCCGGTCCGCGGAGCAGGCGGAGAGCAAGGGGTACATGTACTTCAAGGTCCGTGCTGGGGAGGTGGTGGTGGGTGCTACCAGGGGCTAGTCGGGCTGCAAGTCGGTTTGCTGCTCTGTCTATCAGCACACTCTCCCTTTGTCCCTATCCCCTGTGCATGTAAAGCAGGAACATCCAGCATGGTCTTTCCACCATCCACATACCCTCAGGCATGTTGTTTTCGACCCTCCTGCCTCCTTGTTCTCACTGCCCTGCTGCCCGTGTCTGCGTCCCCAGGTGCCAGTGCATCGGCTGCACGCGGAGCAGAAGCCAGCATGGCTGCACGCCAATTCCACCTTCACCACCATCCGCCGCTACATCCCCCAGATGATTGAGAGCCAGCTCGCCTTCCGCAATGATGCTCCTGAGCGATTCAAGGCTGGTGAGTGCCAGTGACAGCGGGGTGGGGGAAAGGAAAGTGGGTATGGGAAGGGTTGTGGTAACGGCGGGTGGTGGGTTGGAAAAAGGGGTGGAGAAAGGGAGGCAAGTGGAATATGTGTGCTGGTTGGAAGGTGCTAACGAGCTCGCCACAAGAGGTTGTCTCACTTTCTTCCCCCCTCTCCCACTACCCTTCCCTCCTTCCTTCCATCCTGCCAGTGGCTCATGCTCCATCACTAATCTCAGCTCCTTGCACTTCCCCTCCTCTCTGTGCCTTCCCTCCACCCCCTTCCACCCGACCCACCCTCCCAGGCATGGTGTATGGCATGCAGAACAAGCTGGAGCTGCTGCAGCGTGCGTGTGGCGTGGCAGGGGAGGCGGGGTACAAGGTGCAGTGTGGGTGCGCCGACCTGGGCAAGGAGGGGCAGCTGCACCCCTCCGACCCCACCATTGCTGCCACCTGCGGCTACTCCCTGCGCCTCTGGTTCTTCCCCTGCAACGGCACAGAGCCCGACAAGGTGTGTGCTGGTAGCGCTGACGAAATGTCGTCCTTTGGCCCCTATTTCTGCCATTCCTGCAGTGCGGTTGTGGGGAATGTATTCTGTGTGCCAGGATCTCGCATGACTGGGTGGGTGTCCTTGTTTTTTGCTATCTGGCTTGTAGTGAGTCCTGTGTGTAGCTTGTGTATAGTGGTGCTTGCCAGTTGCATGCTGGCACATCCCGCTGACCTGTGTTTCTATTGTGTGCCAACAGGTGTTCAACAATGGTCTGTACCGCAAGAGATTGCGCACCAAGTCTAGGCAAACCATGCATGCTGTAATCAAGAACCTCATGCGCCATCCAAATGTTTTTTATGTATGACAAGTAGTGGGTCTCTTTGTGATTTGTTAAATTCCTCTATCCACTATAGTTAATTAGAGCTGGAGAGAAACTGGGCGTTGGCAGGATGTTGTGAAATGAGTCTAGATATAAGTAAGAATATCCTAGTCAAATTATATCGGAATTTTGAAGTCATTCGGGGCCGGCTGGCACAACTCGCCAGCAGAGCAAACCTGTCCCCATCACCTTAGAATTGCACCAACCGCATTGCATCATCTCCTCGACTGTGGAGCTGGTTGTCAGATATCTTATCCACCTGCTTCCGTCGTGGCAGAACTGACCAGCGTTCCTGCTTCAGGCAACCGCCAAACCGCGGAATTCCCGTAACCCAAGTTGCAAAAATTCATCCAGTCCTGCAATGTTCCAGGCTCGCTCGATTGCCTCAAGGTCATTCTCCGCTGAGATACCGCATTGGCACACATATTTATGACTTGTTCCTGCAAAGTCATCAGCAAATCGTGTGGCATTCTGCCGTGAGACTGAAGCCATAGACTGAGATGGACGAGGCAAAAGCGAGTGAGAGTAAAGCAGAAGATGCTAAAGGTGGAGAGGTCAAAGGAGAAGAGTCTAAAGCGAAAGAGATTGGAGTCGGAGAGGCTAAAGCGGGAGAGACTGGAACGGAGGAAGATACGGCGGGAGAGACTGGAACGGAGGAAGATACAGCGGGAGAGACTAGAACGGAAGAGGTTAAACTGGTAGAGATTAGAGCGGAAGTAGCTGAAGTGGGAATGACTGGAGTGGAAGAGGCGGTAACGGGAGAGGCGAGAACGGAAGAGGCTAACGGGGGAGAGACTGGAACAGAAGAAGGTGCAGTGAGAGGGAATATATCGAAAGAGGCTGAAGTGGAAGAGACCAAAATGCAGGAATCGAAAAAGGTAGAGACCGTAATAGAAGAGGCAGACGCGAGAGCGATCAGAACAGAAGAGGATAAAACGGGAGAGACGAGAACGGAAGAGACTGGAGCAGGAGTGACTAGAAAGGATGATGCTACAACGGGAGAAGCTAAAATGGAAGTGGATGAAGCGAGAGAGGCTGAAGGGGGGATGACTATTACGGGAAAGGTTGAAGCGGGAGAGGCAGTAACGCAAGAGGTTAAAGAGGAAACTGCAACTGAGAAGGATGAGGCGGGAGAGACGGAGAATGCCAAACCGGAAGAGACGAAAACGGAAGAGGATCTAGTGGAAGAGATTAACATGGAAGAGTCTGAACCGAGAGAGGCAGTGGAGGAGGACTCACCTTGGGATCTGCTGGATATTCCGGCTGAAGGCGGGCCTGGAGGGAATGAGAAGAACAACGGTAGCGCAGCTGCCGGTGGTGGTGGTGCTGCTGCTGCGCCCAAGGGACGTTCAGCAGCATCACCGGCATCCGGTGCGAGCAGGGCAATGGGCGCTGACCTACTCAGAGCAGCTTGCGCCGATCTCCTCGCCCATAGTCCCCAACGCTCGCTGACCCTGCGCGAGCTACTCCCTGCGTTGAAGTCACTAAATCGCTCTGACCTGGCGCCAGCTCTAGCGGAGGTGATCGGCGCGCCGGAGGGCAGGAGTCGAGGTTCCGCGCACGAGGGGCGTCTGCGGAGCGTTCTGTCCGCAGATTCGCGTTTTACGATGCAGGGAACGGGGAAATCGGTGAGCGTTGCGCTGGCGGCTGCGGAGAGTGACAGGGAAGAGGGGGAAGGCGCAGGCAAGCGGAAGAGAAAGACGGAACGTGAAGGAAAGCGCGGGGGAAAGGCGGACGGGGAGGCGGAGGTTGCCAGTCCAGGGAGGAAGAGGCGGAAGGGAGTTGGGGAGGAGAAGGGGGAGAACGCGGAAAAAGGCTCAGGGGAGAGGAAACGGAGGAAAAGTACTGGAGCAGGGAAAATCACGGAAGACGAGGAACGGAAAGAGGGAGCTGAAGAGAGCAAGGTGAGTCGTAACATTGAAAACGAAATCATGCTGTTAATGTCCGTTTGCTGACGCAATTCACCTGTTGCTTAAAACCAACAAAACAACACATTATGTTTCCATTTATATATGATAGACTTCAACCACCCAACAAGACGTGCCATATATATACCGTGACTCAAATGGTTTCCATATTTGTAAGCATGCGTGTGTCCGCCTGTGCATGTACACCCCGTGCATCCAGCTTCTCACGTCTGCACGCATGCGTATGTGTAATGCGTGTGTGCGTGTGCGTGTGTGTGTGTGTGTGTGTGGGCGTGTGTGTGTGCGTGTGTGCGTGTGCGTGGGCGTGTGCATGTGCGTATGCGGGTGGGCATGTGCGTGGGTGTATGCGTGTGCGTTTGCGAGTGGGTGTGCGTGTGCACGAGCTGAAGCGCATGACAGAGCACGAGTCGCATGTGCCATCAGTGCCAGCGCAACGACAAGGAAACCATCACCATCTGCAGCAAGGTGCACACTCACCGCTTCTGCGGCGGCTGCATCCGCAACTGGTGAGACCACGCGACAGGAGCGAGTGCATGTACTTTGAGAGGAGGAACTGGAGAGAAGAAGGAAGTATGGGGCGCTGGGAAGCAATTTGCACTGATGACGAGAGAGTATGCGAGTGCAGTGGCTGCTGTTCCATTGCACGGTGCTACCACGCCTACCTCCATACACCAACAAACCCCAATCACGGCTCCCTATGTGAACACTCATCCCCATGGCCTGCCTTGTCCTGTGCGTGCACCAGGTACCCCTACCACACACCGGAGGAGATCCACGCCATCTGCCCCAAGTGCCTTGGCGTCTGCAACTGCAAGACGTGCCTGCGCACCTTCATGCCCCCGCCCTTTGTACGTCCCTCACACGCTACTCGCTCTCTCTTCTCAGCACTGGCCCTCTCGTAATCCACCTCAAATCCAACTGCAATCCCTTTTTCCTCCTTGCATCCGTCTTGTCTTCCCCATAAGCCGCCTCATTCTAACCACTCCGCACAGATTCTCCCTCCCAACCTGGATTCAACCTTGTCTCAAACCCCCCATTTCATCTTTTGCCAGTCCCGTTCTCCATCTCCATACTTCCCGCCCTGCTTATCCCTCTCACCCGCCAATACCCTCTCTGCCCGCGTCCTCCGCCTGCCCTGTTATTTGCATGGCAGAAGGCAGAAAGCTCCCCCGAGCAGAAGAGGGGCATGGCGCGGTGGGTGCTGGCGTGGGTGATGCCGCACGGGAGGGCCATGCAGAAAGAACAGCAGCAGGAAGTGGAGGAGGAGGCAGCCAGACAAGCCATCAACCCCTCCTGTGAGACTCCCACGTCTTCCTCTCCCCTGTCATTGCCTCCTTTGTGCCCCTCCCTTTCTCCTTGCTTTCGTTATCCCTCTGTTCCTTCCCCTCTCCCTGTCTACACGCCCTGCATGCCCCTCATTACTGGCGCTTCTTGATTCACTGTGCGTTGCCAGCCTCGCCCAGCTGCTGTAACTCCGTTTTCCAGCCCCATCCGTCCCTCAACCCTCATACCTCAACCCTCACCCCTCTCGCACCCTCACCCGCGCCCCACCTGCATGTCTCTTCCTCACGCCCACCCCCACCAGCGTTGAAGGTGAAGCGCGCGGAGCTGCTCAAGGGCGAGAGAATATTCTGGTAAGCGTGAGTGGGGTAGGCTGATACACGTGCGGGCTGTGGGACGGTCAATGACTGCAGGCGCGAGTGGGATAATGCAGGGCTATGTTTGAGGAAAGTGTAGGGTAGGACAGGGATGGAGGGTTAGAAAAGAAACCGCAAATCCTCCTGATCGTCCTCCGTTCCTCAACCCACTCAACCCCTGCTCCTCCCTCCAATCGTCCCTAACACCAGCCTTTCCGCCCCTATCCTCACCTCCCCTTTCTCCTCTCCCCTTTTCCCAGTTCGCACTGCCAGACGGGCATAGCTGGCTTGCACCGCAGCTGCCCTGAATGCGCCTACGACCTGTGCCTGCAATGCTGCCGTGAGGCGCGCTCAGGGGCCCTCCCCGGTGGGCCTAAGGCGTTTAAGGGGATGGTGGAGCAGGAGCGCGCACAGGAGAAAGAGGTGGGGGATGGTGCACAGGGAGAGAAAGCAGAGGAGACAGAGGAGGCGGAGGGAAAGGGGATAGGCAAGTCGAGGAAAAGCTCAGGAGGAAAGAGCAGCAGCAGGCGATCTAAAAGGGGTGCTGGGAAGCGGGGGAATAATGGGGAGGTGGATGATAAGCAGGAAGAGAAGCAGACAGAGAACCAGGAAGAGAAGCAGACAGAGAAGCAGGAAGAGAAGCAGACAGAGAAGCAGCCAGAGAAGCAGACAGAGAAGCAGTCAGACGGCGGGGCGGATGAGAAGGGCAGGGAGGGGGTGCCGAAGCATCTAGTGGAGCGATGGAAGGTGGAGGAGGACTGGCGGGTGCAGTGCCCTTCCAAGGACTGCAGCAGTGCGAGAGAGGCGCGCAGGCAGAGCGAGGGGCAAGGCGGGCAGGGGCCATGGCTGGAGCTGCGGTCACTGCATGCTGATGGGTGGCTGACGCAGCTAATGGCACAGGCAGAGGAGGCTCTAGGAACGGATGGTGAGAGAAAGTCAGAGGAGATTGGGGGGACAGGAAAAGGGATGGTGAAGTCGAACGGGTGTATGGATGCTGCTGCTATTGCTGATGCCGCTGCTGCAGCACGGAATGCGCAAGTGGCACTTGGGAACGTTCCCCTGGTTGCTGCTGATCAGTTCCCGTGCTGCTCCCTGTGCCAGCAACGTGCAACGCAGGTGCTGCAGGAGATGAGTGGTGGAGGAAGCAGCAGCGGTGGCAGTCAAGTTGCTGCTACAACCACACCAGGAGGAAGGACAGGGGAGCAAGACGCAGCAGCGGAGAAGGAAAGGGAGGTAGGCAGGTACTACAGGAAGAGAGCTAATAAGGCAGCGGGCAAGGAGGGAGAGGAGGCAAAGGAAGGCCAGGAGAGGAAGGCGGAGGAGAAGGAGAAGGGAAAGGTGGAGGAAGGCAAGGGAGGGAACGGGGATGGAAGGAAGGAGGGCCCCCCAATACGTGGTCTCGACTTCCTGATGAGGCCCCAGCTGTCGTCCTCCACCACCGTCCCTGCTGCCGCCACCACCGCCACTGTTGCCTCCACCACCGCCACCACCACCACCACAGCTGAACCTGCCGCTGTAGCAGCAGCAACAGCAGCCCCCTTGCCTGCCGTCCCTGCCTGTGACCTGCAGCACCTGCAACAACTGGCGGAGAGCCACAGGCTGCGTCTGGCCTCCACCCGATCCCCCTCCTCCTGCTCCTCCTCCAACTTCCTCTTCTGCCCCACCGCCCAAGATCTTGCCCCTCCTCCTCCTGCTGCTGCTTCTCCTGCTGCCGCGGGCAACCCTCCTCTCCCAACAGGGCACAACCCCCCCGCCGTGGCTCATTTCCAGCAGCACTGGCAGCGTGGGGAGCCCGTAATCGTGCGCCATGTGATGCCGCCCTCCATGAAGGACGGGCTCAGCTGGGCGCCACTCGTCATGTGGCGCGCGTTCCGAGAGACCAAGGAGGGGCGCAGTGTGCAGGAGAAGCTCACAGTGGTGGCCGTGGACTGCGAAGACTGCACTGAGGTAGAGCTAGGCACACACCAATTCTTCGAGTGCTACATGAACGGCGAGTCAAAGAGTGTCAAGGTACCGGACATGCTCAAGGTGAAGGACTGGCCGCCCACTGCTGTGTTCCAGGATCGGCTGCCTCGGCACGGCGCTGAGTTTCTCGGCGCGTTGCCGCTTCACGAGTACACGCATCCTGAGAAGGGCCTGCTGAACCTGGCGACGGCAGTGCCGAAGGGTGACCCGAAGGCGGACATGGGCCCCAAGGCTTATATCGCGTATGGGGTGAGGGAGGAGCTGGTGCAGGGGGACTCGGTGACGAAGCTGCACTTTGACATGGCTGACGCGGTGAGCAGGGGTTTGGTGAGGAGGAGAAAGGAGGGATATAGTTGGGGCTTTTATTCCGGCAGGAGCACCCCTATTACCTTTCCTCCTTCTCCCTTTCTCGTGTTCTCCGGTTTTCACCCCACCTCCACATTTCGCTTTTTGGGAGCGCCTGAAGAATAAACTCAATTTTTTTCCTGATCCCCCTCCTCTGCATTCCCTGCTTCCAGGTGAATATTCTGACTCACTGCCACTACCGCCCGCCCAGCAAGCGTCTGCAGGGGCTGATGCGGAAAAACGCGGAGGGAAATGGGGCAGAGGCGGGCCATGAGAATGATGTGGCGACTAAGAGTGAAAACGAGAAAAAGAAGGAAGGAGGCAATGGGAAAGGGCGAGGAGGTGGAGGGGGCAGCGAGCAGCAGCAGCAAGCAGCAGGGAGCGGTGGTGGGCAGGTGCTGACAGCAGGGGGGGAGGAGGGAGCAGCACTGTGGGACATCTTCCGGCGGGAGGACTCGGACAAGATCCGTGCCTTCATTGCTCGCCACCTCCACGAGTTCCGCCACCTGCACAACCAAGTCATCCAGTCGGTCCGTTCCCCACTCCCTCCCGTGCCCCACGCCTTCCAATCCATCCAACATCCATATCCATCCAAAGTCATCCTGGTGTATGTTCTTCTTAAGCAAGAAATGGCAGAGAGGCATGTTTCCCACCTTCCCATTTTACTCCCCCCCTGGCCTACCTGTGCTGCCCATGACTGTGTGTGGGGTGAGAGCAGATGGACGATGAGATTCACGACCAGACAGTGTACCTCACTGCCCGGCACAAGGAGATGCTCTATAACGAGTATGGTATGTCCCATGCCATGCATGCTCGCTCTGTCCCTTATTACTGGCATGCAGCCAGCCATCCTCTCAGCGCATTGATCAGCATCTCCTTTCCCGTGCCCCTTTACTTCTTCCCATCCATATCGTCCATACCTCTGCCCCCCGTACATGCCATGCCGTCTCCTGCTATTGTCACTTGTCAACCCTTATCGCCTCTCCTCTACCCCTCGTGCCTTTTTCTGCGTGTATTACGGCTCCCATCCCATGCACGTGCTCGCCTGCCTGGCCTGCAGGAGTGGAGGCATGGACGTTTGAGCAACGCCGGGGCGAGGCCGTGTTCATCCCTGCTGGCTGCGCACACCAAGTCAGAAACCTCATGGTGCGTCTGCCAGTGCCATGCCACATGCACGCAAGTCATGCATGCGCACACACACACATATGTAACAAGCATGCACGCATCCAAGGATCACTCCTAAGTTCTGCACAAGTGAACTGATGACCTTTGTCCCTGTCAACTGCGTCACCAGTCGTCTTTGCCATCTCACCTACTGCACCAGTCACGCTCCAATGCCTTCCCCCTCTCCCTCTCTCCCCACCCCCACACCCTGCCCCTCCCCAAACCCCACCACTGGCAGTCAAATATGAAGGTAGCTGTGGACTTTGTTTCCCCCGAAGGCACCTCGCACTGCCTGGCGCTCACAGAGCACGTCCGCACCATGCCCGTGCACCACCGCTCCAAGGAGGACCGCCTCGAGGTGAGCGCCGCAGGAGCGCAGGACGGGAGGGCATGAGGGGTAGGAAATGGGTGGCAGGTGTGGTGGGGACTGGGGGCGTGAGCGATGTGAGGTGACAGATGCTACTGCCATCTTTGCTGGTTGACTGCCGCTCCCGAAGGTGTGATGTGATGTAGGTAAAATGTGGATGTGTGTGTTCCCTTTGGATGCCATTCCCCTGCAGGTGAAGCGGATGATACTCCATGCCGTGGAGCGATCCCTCTCCATCCTCAAACAACCTACCTAGAGACAGCCGAAACTGCTTACTCACTTTTTCATCTGTAGTCTATTGACGTTAGTTGCCAAGTTTGGGTGTGATGGCTATGATGTTCTTGTAGGGACTGTCACTTCCCATACAAGAGAAGACAGGCTACCTCATACCGGTATTTAGCCGTAGCCCCTTCCACTCGTGCCATTGAATTGCATCAATAATGAAGATCCTCCCTGCAGATGCCAATCTTGCTTCTACACATTCAGTGACTTCTATACCATGGCACCTCCGCCAGTATGTTACAATAACCCTAACCAAACAATTACCACCATTTGGACAGAAACAGCCCATGTTAATGTGGGAACTCTTGGAACGGAAGGTGGCTGGCAACAGAGCAACATGCAGGATGCCACATGCTGTAGAGACCGCGTGCAAGTCCTGGCTCAATAAGCACTGCGTTATTTCAGTCCACGTGGCGGCTGCGTCAGACGGGGTATTTGGACTTCCGTGCAATCTTAGCTGACACCTTCTTTGGCACCTTCAGTCCCTTCTTCTTCCCCTTGACCGTTTTCCGCGAACTGAACTTGCGCCCACCGCTGGTCCCCTTGAGCGCTTTCCCCCGGGTCCCCTTGTTCTTCCCGATCACCTTGCCCCGCACCCCAAGCCGCTTGTTCTTCGCGCCCTTTCCATCCTCGTCCATGGCTGCTGCGTCCTCCGCGTTTCCCGCTCCTTCTGCGTCCATCTCCGCATCTGACGTGAGTCGGCGCGCGTTACGGAAGGGGGGCGTTTGGTAGTCGCAGGGGAAGTAAACAATGGGGGATGAAAAAGGCGTAATAGAGTATGTGGGTGAGGGAGAAGAGGGTGTGTGACATTGGCATGAGCGTATGCGGTTAGGCACAAGAAACTGAGAGGCAGAGAGTCTTTCGGCGAAGAATACCTTCGCCTGAAGAGCCGCCAGTCTTCTTTTGTGAAATCTTCTCAACGTGCGACGTATACACCGACGGCGCTGCCACTATAGCTTCGAGAATATTGCGGGTGGGCTCCTCCTTGGTGTCGTAGTGTTGGTCCGCAATGTCCCTCTTCTTCGCCTTCAACCGCTGGATGCGCTTAGACCGTAAAGACTTTCCCATCCTGCCTCGGGAGGATTTTAAACTCGATAAGCTGTGTCGGTACGGACAACGGCAAAAGAACTTAGTACGCAGCACAGAGCGCGGAGGCAAGGGTCTCAAGGTTGAGGGGAGGGGAAGGTGCTGGAAAAATGAAACCCTGCATCGGAGGGATAAGGTTTTGTCAGGGGTTGGTGAGTCGATATTGATTGTGGTGCCGAATATACATACACTTCAAAGCAGCATTGTTCTAACACATGCAATACACCAGATTTTGAAAAAATCAGCATGTACTTTAATGGTTGAAATTTTAAAATGATAACAACATATTATATGATGGTATGAACATGCATATATTCAGCGTCCGTTTACTCAGCGTTTTCTCTAACTGATGGTATAAAAGTTGCATGGTTTAGCATTTGGAGCACTGACTTTGAATGAGATGGACTGAAAAGGGTAGTCCAATGATGCAAAACGATGTTGCCGAAACGGGGGTAATTTGTCAGCATCTCTGTGTGGGCTGCGTAAATTAAAACCAGGGTGCACATTCAACGCGGTTCGGCTTGAGATGTTGGGAAGGGGGTTTGGAGAAAAACAGTGATTGGCTCACGAGGGGCGACAAAAAAATGATTCCGCTAGAGCTTCGGGCATTTCGTAGGTGGCGGGAGGGGGTGAAATGGCGGGAGTGGGTGAAACCGAATGGCGGGAGGGATGAAACAGATTGGCGGGAGGGGGGGGAAACGAAATTGCGGGGGAGGGGGGAAACAAAATTGCGGGGGAGGGGGGAAACGAATTTCGACTTGAAGGGGTTGAAAGCACACCTCGTAACCCACTCAGTCAAGGGATAACCTTTGATGCACATTCAGCTGAATGTGCACCCCGGTTTTTAGGAGGGCATGACGGGGACGAATGGTCGAGAGAGACGGAGAGCCCTGGGCGCTCCTTGATCGGGTGTTAGTGCAGGCTTTGCTGACAGCAAATCTGACCAATAATTTTGCGATCACTCCGTACGCTGTCAATCGCCTGAGGGAAATGATCAGATTGGGGCCCCGAAGTTCTAGGTATGTAGCCAACTTGGGGCCTCGTGTGTCGCAATGTGTCGAACCTGGTCCGGACCTGTCTCTAACCAATTTCGGACCTCACCCACGCGCTCCGTCAGACCTGACCACACAAGGTGACGAATTTCTGAACGGACAAGCTGGCAAAAAATACGAACCCCATACGGGCATGCATCCGGTCAGGGATGCATCAAACCTAAACACCTTGTCGCATGTGTTTAGGGTTGATGCCTCCCCAATGTTATGCCATCCGATTGGGTTTTATTTTTTTTACCACTGCGATAATAGTTTTGGGCTAAAATGTTTATTTCTGGGTTATTTCTCTGAAGTATCTGTACTGCCCATTGTGAATGGGCTGACGATCGCTGCTCCCGTGAACCAGGGTGCTAGCGAAATCCGTCAAACCCAAGCCAGCAGGTGGTGACCTGGCGAGCTCGGCCTAGCTGCCTAGGCTTGTGGGTTGCTTCGGGCCTTCTTCGTAGGTTCGCGAATCACGAGGCCCCAAGTTGGCCATCGTTCTGCTAATCCGAGGCCCCAATATGATCATTCCCCATCGCCTGAACGGGTTGTCGTCCTCGCACCAACAGATCTGGACGGCGACGGCAGCTTCTTTGGTGGCATGACGTGTGACCGTCGTTACCCTTCCAGATTTGGTTGGTGGGCTCAGCAGCCATGTCTGACCTTTCAAAATGTCCCGCATTTTCCGAACCGAGCCGAGACGTTCGCGCCCCTGAATATGAGCCTCCACCAATAAGAAACATCGATACGGTACATTTACCAGCTGGTCTGATTTCTGGAGTCGCCGTACCAACACTTCACTCCTGGCGTGGTGTCCAGGTCATCCTCGCCAACCAAAATGCAGTTTGGTGGACCACATCAGGCTTCGTCCCCCCAGCGAACCTCCAGGGCGAAATGTCGTCTTGCTGGGCGCGCAGGACCCAGATTCGACCAGACCAGATTCCAAGCTGCACGGATGCGTTGTCATTGGCTGCCCTGGAGTTGCCGAACCTGACTACCGGTTTGAAGGGTGCTTGTGTGGCCCCGGAAAACAATTTAGGCTCGGCGGGAATGACCAAAGCAGCGACGGACAGGACAGGACAGGACAGGGCAGAGATGGTCGAGGCCGAGAAGCGACCATTTTTTAGATTGCCGGCGTTCAATCCATGGCGGTTGGTATGGGGAATACCGGGTGAGGTCACACACACCCACAGATCGCACGGGCTCCATGTCCTCGCGTTCTTCTTGTGCGTGACGGGAATTCTAATCTCCTTCCCGGCACGTAGTGGCTGTGCTACGTCTTCCCTCATACATTTTCCTGTTTCATCTCGCTGGCTCAAGCCAGTGTTTTCAACACTGCACCAGCTCCCTCCTTCCTCGTCATTGCATTCTGACGACAGAGAGTTCTCCGCCATGGTACGGAGAGAAGACAGGAGCATGTCCCCTGATAAGACTCCACGTTCTTTCGCCATTCGCTCGACAACACAACCACATTCCGTCATGACTCCAGACCTCGCCACATCTCCTTCCAAGCGCCCGGTTTCCCCGGCGCCGCAGTCGCAGACGAGTCGGCGATCGCGAGCAGCGGAGCGGCGATTCATAGCGGTGATGGCCGTGGGGCTCATGATCGCCATGAGTTCCTCCGCATTCGCCGCCGCAGTCGACACATTCCCTCAATGGGGCCCTAACATCATCTCTCGAGCCGCGCACTTAATCTCCGACCAGTCTCCAGTCTCGGATCTCATTTTCCGAACCAGTCGCGATTTCTTCGGTATAAGCACCGTCCGACTGGACGAATCCCTAATAGACAGAGTGCTCGTCTCATCCAGCAGCAGTCCCGCCGGAAACTTCTACGTCGCGTTGTCGGCATTGCTCAGCGCTTCGGGGATCTGCTGCGCGGCCGTTTTGACTCACGGCCTCGGCGGGCGAATGAAGTACCGCCACCTGGCATGGATGTTCTTCCAGCCGTTCGTGGGCGGCGTGCGGTTCATCTTAATGCAGGCCATGGCGTGGACGCTCTTCGCCTTCTCCCTCCTCGTCTTCTCCAGCGTCGCGTGCGTCGCCGCATTCATCGGCCGCGCCTTGCTCGGGCAAGGCCTGCTAGCTTCCGCCGGCGTTACCGGCCTCGCGTCGGAGTTCCTTTTAATCGCTTCCTTGCTTATCTTCGAGTCCCCCAGCGAATGCTCGCCGAGTAACGACGTCCCGTTGCCGCCCACCCAACGGCATTCACCCAGTAAGAGTCCGACGAAGCCGATCCAAGCGACTCGCGAGTCGCCTGGAAGGACAGCGCAGGAGGCGACGATAACAGCAGCTGATTCAGAAACCGTCGCGCGGGTATTACTCCGTAAACAGGTGGAGGAGCCAGATGAGACTGCCGTAGCAGCGCGCGGAAAAGAAAGCACAGCGGGGAAGGCGGGGAAGCAGGGGGGCGTAGGCGAGAACGCGGAGAAGGGCGAGATGCGCGTGGTGTGCCCCGCGCCATGGACGGAGCGCCAGCTCGCCATCGCCACGCGCAGGCCCGCGGAGATGCTGTCGCTGCTGTTGGCGGGCGCACTGGGGAAGGCGGGAAAATGCGCGGAGGGGTTTCTAGGCGCGGGAGATGGTGCAGCGGCGGAGGAGGAGAAGAGAGGCACGAATAGGCTGCAACCCACAGCCGATGGGGAGAATGATGAGCGAAGCAGCAGCGAGACCGCGTCGGACGCGGATGGCGTTCCGGAATCCATGCCGTTACTCGCGGCGGAGGAGAACGAGGAGAGTAAGGACGGGGAGAGGATACAGCTGGATGCGCCGTTGACGGCGTGGGAGGTGCTGTGGTGGTGCTGGGTGAAGACGCGATCCTTCTGCTCCGTGTGTTTCCTGTACGCGGTACAGCACGCGCTCGCTTTCGCCATCTGCATGCCCGCCGTGTGCTGCGAGCTGCGCACAGCGGCGGCCATATACGCAGGCGTGCTGGCGGCATTCGTGTACTGCAACACGTGCGGGAACGACCGCGAGAGGAACGGCAAGAGCCACTGGCTCTGGCTGCAACCATAGTGCGTGCCCCTCCCCTCGCCGCATCCGTGCGTGTGTCCTGTCCTCCTCGCCACGCTGATTGCATCGGTTAATGCCTTGCCGCCCTTGCCTCCTCGCCCTTCCTCCATCGTCCCTTGCCTGATCCCATCAACCTCTCAACCCGTTTTCCCTTCTCCGTTTCTCCTCGCTCCCCCTTGTCCCCCGTTCCCCTCTCCTTGCGCATTCCCGCGTCGGCGCGAGCAGCTGCATGTGGCTGTTGGAGGAGTGTTCAGCGGCCTACTTCAACACTGTGCGCATCGTGCGCGAGGGCCACGCGTCGCTCTATCCCGCCTCGCAGCGATACATCTTCACCTACCATGTATGCTCGTTGCTCGAACACCGTTGCTTCCTCGCACGCTGCACATCTCGCTGCTTTCTAACACGCTGCGCACCTTCTATGTACTGTGCTTCATAGTCCCCTCATGCCTTCAGTTTTGCTAATTTCCCCTCCTCACTCCCCTCGTCCCCCATTCCTCCTCCACCCCCTCTGCCCCACCCATCCCCCCTTCCCCTTTTCCCCCCGCCCCCCAGCCGCACGGGCTACTCCCAGCGATAATGGCGTGGTTCTTCCGCACGTCCGCGTGGGAATCGCTGCTGCCAGGCATCCACCCCGTGGCGCTCGTGGCGTCCGTGCTGTTCCGCGTGCCGCTGCTGCGCCAGCTCGCCCTCTGGGGCGGCCTGCGCGAGGTCTCCCGCCACGGCTTCGCCGCCGCCATTCAAGACCAGCAGGCCGCCATCTTATGCCCCGGCGGACAGGTGCGGATGGTGGATGGGGCTGGGCGGAGGGGATATGGAAGGGGCATGGTGGTTAAGGGAACAGCAGGGTGGGTGTGGGGAAGTAGGGGCTGGGAGGGTGGGATGATGGGAACGGGAGGAGGGAAGGAGGGAGGGAAAAAATCGGATGCTTCGTTATTTTTTCTCAGTTGGACCTGGGTTGTTTCTGAGCTCTGCTTGTCCCTTGCATCCCTACAGCCCTCGTCACCCACTCTCAACTCACTCACATCCACGCCTCACCCCCATGAACCCCCCTGCTCTCTGCCCTCTCCTCTCACTCCTCTGTGACCCCCTTGCAGTCGGAGCTGTCATACCACACGGCGAGCAGTGAGCGCGTGGTGGTGCTGTGTGCGCGCAAGGTGGGCTTTGTGCGCATGGCGCTCGAGACGCGCTCGCTGCTCGTGCCCGTCTTCTGCTTCGGCGAGGCCGCCCTCTTCGACAACCTATTTGACATGCCCTCGCTGCAGGTCGGCACAGCTAAGGGGGTAGTGGTTGTTGGGAAAGGAAGAGGGCAGTGGGAGGGTGTGGGGAGAACGGTGGGCCTTTGTGGGGGGCTGCAGGGCTGCTGTTTTCAAGTGCATGTTGATATCGGCTTGTCACATCGGTTCTTCGTCGCTGCACCTTGCCTCCCACTCCCCTTTGTGCAGCTCGCTCCACACAACGCTCACAAGCTCCCTTTCCCCGCTGCTCCCTTTCTGTCCCTCTCCTCTCCTCACCCCTCCCCGCATCCCGATCCACTCTGCAGCGCTTCACGTACCGGCGCTTTGGCTTCCCCATCCCATTCCTCCCCATCGGCCTCTTTGGTCTGCTGCCTCTCCCCCGCACCTCACCCGTCACGCTCGTCGTGGGCCGCCCCTTTGACCCCTCGTCCTTGCTGCCGGCACCTCTACAACCCGGCGAGCTGTGCTCTGTTTCAGCGGAGCAGCTGTGTGGCATCCGCGACCGGTACTACCAGGAGGTGCATGCGCTGTTTGAGCGCCACAAGGCACGCTGGGGCATGGCTCACGTGCAGCTGGAGCTACGGCGGTAGCACTGGGATGGGGAAGGATTCGGAGGGATGCTTGGGACGGGAGGGAGGGTAGGTTGTGGCGAGGACAGGGAGGGGAGGGGAGGCGAGGCCTGGTGGTTGCGGCGTGGAGATCGTTGCAGGTTTAGCGAGCAAGAAAGGATGCACAATATCAAGTGTGGAACGTGGCAAGAATTTACGCAAGGTGACTATCATGGTCACCTAGACTAATCTGGTAGGCCAGGCGGAAGGGGTGCAGAGGAGTTGCGAGGTGCCTCTGTAGGCATCTACCAAGGTGACTATCCTGGTCACCTGACTAAAGCTAATCTGGTAGGCCAGGCTGAGGTGGTGCAGAGGTGAAAATAGGGAAAGTAGGCAGTACAGGGACAGTGCAAGGTGCAGAGTGCTGACATAGGGGCGCAAGAGGTCGATAAGCAGCAAATAGCTGCTATGAAGGCTCTGGGTTATAGTAGTGTAAATAGGCTAATGAAGATTTAAGTTGCGGTTGAGGCTTTGGCTTGAAAATGAATTTTAGACGTTAGCTAACATTCAGCTTATGCCCGCCCTGATTACAGTGGATGGACAATATGCCACTATTCTCGTTTTGGATGGTCGAACCAAAGTCCACCGCCATGCATTCCAGACCAACTCGATCTGACGGCCAGCATTCGCCCAAGCTGTTTCTGAGGTTCGGAACCATAGCGAGCAGAACCTCGGTCAGATTTGGTTCGACCCACATCGCTGCTGGAGTCTTCGCTGCCCAGAGCTGACCCCCGATTGTTCCTCTTCTCATTCGCAGAGCCGATCTTTTGAGTGTGTAGTGTGATATATTTCGCCACAGTAGATTGGCATTCGCCAACACTCGGCCATCATGGTTCACGGCCTGCGAGCTGCGGGACGAGCATCTGAGCGATTATTTGCGTAGCAGCTGTGGTCCCCCTTCGCCACTCGATCGACTATGCGTCAACGATGGACACCGATAAACCAGAGTGCACATTCAACTTGAACAGAGGCCCAGCCAGGTGCAGGTTCCCATCCCATCCCATTTCACACAGGGCCAGGGCTTTCTTCCTCCCATTTCAGATCCGAACATCCATGTGAGATGAGAATTCCACATCCCTTCCATCATCCAGGAGCTTCCTCCCACCATCTCCCATATCTTCGAATCACGACGAGTACCAGCAATCTCCATCATGCAAAAAAAGCTCCCTTCCATCATCCAAAGAGCTCCCTTCGATTTTTCCTTACTGGGTTCTCAAGGGCCACTCTTCTCTGCTCGCGCTTCCCCATCCTCCTTCCCTCCCTGTCATTTCTTCAGGCACACACCACTCACCCACGCCAAGCCTCCGTGACGCTAGCCTGTGGATCTCTTCCGTTCTGCTAATCCGCCAGCCTCTTCGGTTAGTACTTCCTTTCCTACTGTTTAGTCGGCTAGGACAGATCGCTCCGCAGAAAAGCTTGTAGTTCCCGTCGGTCTTATATAGTCTTCACAATAAGCTCATGGAGTCGTCAACCGTGCGTGCCAATCGGCCTAGATCCGTCGCATTGTCAGACGAGTCCGCACCGCTGGTCCTCCGCAATGACGATTTGCTCGCCAAGATCCTGCATTACGCTGCTCAGCCCAACCAGTTTGTGCAAGCACTGGTGTGCACGAAATGGCGTGACATAGCCTGTAGCGTGCAGGACGTCATTCACCTGTCCGATCGCCCTCGCATGAGTCATCGCCAGCTGCTTGACCAGCTCGCGGCATTCCCTAGGCTGAAGAAACTGCTCCTTACCGACGATTCTTTGAGCATCGTGCCGGACGAGTTCCTCGCTGGGCTGGCCCGCGCGCATGCCGGGCTGGTTGAGCTTCGCATTGACATTGCAAATGCGAACCCGATCGTACGCCGCAGCAGCAAATGTTTCACTGCAAAGGACTCGCGGACTTATTTGAGGGTTGTACGAACCTAGAGAATCTGTGCCTCAAATACCCGTCGTGTCTCAGCATTCCGCCTTCTATCAGCAACCTAGCTCGACTCAGGAGCCTCTTTCTCACAGCCGATAAGATTCAGCATCTTCCCGACGCCATTACCTCGTTGCGGTTTCTCGAGGACTTTGAGCTCGCTGCCCAAGACCTACAAGAATTGCCACAAGATTTTGGCAACCTCGTCTCGCTCAAGACATTGAGGCTTGGCGTGCGCTCTCTCCGCTCTCTACCAACATCCGTTCCGGAGCTTGCCAATCTACAGCAGCTTTCTATCAGCAACTGCACGACATTTCAGTTACCAGGTGGTATTTCCAAGCTTCTGCAACTTAAAGAACTTCAGCTTCAGTATCTCGAAGAGCTCCTGCCACTGCCGGAGGATTTCGGGAGTCTGCCGGCGTTGGAGTGCCTAGTCGTCAGGGCGAATAAGGCGAATACGGTGTTTCCAGAAATTATACGACTCATCTCTCACGAGACCCTCACGAGACTCGACTTGGGGCAGGAAAGTTTTTTAGATTTGCCAGGCGACATCACTCGGTTGTCAAACCTTAAGAGCATCACGCTAGCAAGCCTCAATATACTAAGTCGTCAAGGCATCTCGTCCCTGCCCGAGGAATTTGGGCAGCTGAGTGCTTTGGAGAGTCTGGTTTTGGACAGCCTATGCTATCTTAGCCACCTGCCTGAGTCCTTTACCCTGCTGTCTTCCCTTCAGACATTGAAAATCGACAACTGCGCAAGCTTAACTGCGCTACCAGAGGGGCTGGGAGATGCCCTACCCCACCTTCGGCAGCTGACTTTGTTTTGCAGAGCGATCACCCCCCTTCCTGCATCCTTCTTCCGTCTCTCATCGCTCGAAGCAGTAGACTTGATTGGTCTCCGGTGCTTGAGAGGCTGCCTTCCGGAGAACTTTGGCAGCTTTTCACACCTTAGGACCCTCTCTTTAAGCCTCAACCCATATCTGACTTCCCTCCCTGCCTCACTCTCTCGATTAGCTCTCTCGCTCACCAGCCTGACGTTGGACGGCTGCAGGGAGCTGAAGTCGTTGCCAGAGGAGATTGGGCAGCTGGAAATGCTGGAGAAGCTCGAGCTTTCAAGTTTAGGCAGTTTAAAGTCAATCCCTCGGTCGCTGTTGAAGCTGCCTCGACTGCGGGAGCTGGAAGTAAGCTCCTGCCAGTCCTTGGGCAGAAGGAGCGCTGTGGACACCTTGGTTGGGGGGAGAAGCAACTGCAGCAGTATCAGCAGCAGCAGCAGCAGCAGCAATGTGGAGAGTGTTGAAGCGGAAGTGCTTCCATCGCTGCAGATCTTGAGGATTAAGGCTGTTGCTTCTGAAGTGCTTGATCCAGCCCTGACGTGCATCTCTTCGTTGGAAACGCTGCAGCTGGAGAGTATGCGAGCACTGCGTACACTTCCTGCCTCCATCTCTCAGTTGTCAAACTTGAGAGATTTGTCGATCAGTGATGCCACTTCGCTCGAAGCGCTGCCGGAAGCAGTGTGTGAACTGCCCCGGCTACGAAAGTTTGTGTTCCACAACTGCATACATGTATCTTCCCTTCCGCGTAATTTTGGGAAACTCTCTTCCCTTCAGAGTCTTGAATTATCTTATCTGCTGAGACTTCCCAGCCTCCCCGATTCGTTACAGGAGCTGGCTCGTCTAAGGTGGCTGCACTTGGAGGATTGTCAGCACCTGGCTCAGCTGCCACCCTTCATCCGTGATATGCCGATGCTGCAGGAGTGTAGTGTTATCAATTGTCCTCTGCTCTCAAACCAAGGTAGGACGGGGACGTTTACTACTTTTGGGAAGGGGTATGGCGCGGATTGAATCATGAGGGTCAGAAAGATAAAGTGGGTGTGGGTGAGTGGAGATGGAGATACCACTATGGGAAAGGCGAGAAGTGAAGAGGAGTGGGAAGTATGAGCTCAGGATGGAGTGAAGAGGGATAGGAAGATGTTTAGGATTGGGATTGAAATGCATATGCAGGAATTTATGTTGTGTTTTTGCACGGATTCTCTATGTGAAACTTTCTGTAGTAAAAGAAAGGAAGATTTGAGTGCTTCACTTTCGAACGCTATTTGTTCAGCTAGTGCATCAGCGGCAACAATTTTCCCAGCACCAGCAATAGTCTCTGGGCTGAGCATATACCGTACCGTACTAGCTCTGCTAATGCTAGTGCCACTTGTATGCTCCAAATGAGCATGCTCCAGCTGCTGAGTGTCTGTCACTGCCCACAGCTGTCTGGCCGCCCACCGGCAGCACCACTGCAACCCCTGCAACGCACACCACCACGGCGCTGTCCATGCCACAAGGCTGCTGCCATGCTGGTGCGTTTTGAGATGGGCATGGCATGGCAAGGCTGCAGGGGGGGTGGCAGGGGGCATGACAGGGGGGCTTGTAGGAGCAGTGTGTGCTGGCCCTTCCTTTGCTGGCCCCATTTTTTTTGTAGGAGTGCTTGCCACTAACAGACTGCATGCTCGTTTTTGAGACATCTCACAAGCGCCAAGAGTTATGCAACATGGATAGCATTGATAGCTTTTCTGTATGTCTCCTCGCATGAGAGGTTTGCTGTAAGCTCCGTACATTCATGTTTCTCAAGTCTAGACAGCACGTGCTCCATAATACAAGCCTTCATGCAGCAATCAATCTCCTCCTACTTGCATGTTAGCTCACAGTGTTCTGTATGCAACAAGATGGATAAAACTTTTGCCAATGGTTCTAGCCCTAGGCTCATTCAAAATCCAGCCTGCAGCGCAGCGTGACAGCAGTGACGGCGAAGCGATTCAGGCGGGCGAGAGGCGCCACGAGGAGAGTCCAAGAATGTGCGCCACCACCACCTGTGCCTCGGTGGAGGCAGAGGTGTTGCTCATGCCCCTGCATGGCAACGGGAAGGATCGCCTGCAGATGGGAACAGGTTTTATCTGGGGATGGGACACAAAGAGGAGACGGTGACACAGAGGCGGGACGGTGACACAGAGGCGGGACGGTGACACAGAGGAGGGACAGTCATACACACACTGAACATTATCACACTAAATCTTAGCACACTGAACATCATCACACTGA